GCGTTGTTGGAGGAGGAGGAGGAGAAAAAAGGGGGGGGGGGGGGGGGGGGTGATGGCGAGGAAGGGGACGAGGAGGGGTGCGTCCACCTGGTTGCATCGGTCTGCACGCGTCTCCTCTGCCCGGCTTACGTGAGTCTTTAGTCTTCCGGGAAACGGCATGCCCTACCGTTGCCCGTGGTCGCGTCGTGTGTGTGTGTGTGCGCGCGCGCGCGCTTGTGTTTTAGTCTGTGTGTTTTCGTACTTGCATCGTCGACCGCGCTTGAGTGGCTGGCCAACGGAATTGACGTCAGTGTCGGCGGGGAAACACCGGTGGGAAATCTATTCCGCGGGGCTCCCCCGGTTTGTGTGTGCCATGTACAACAAGACATGCATCGTCCGGATTATTGGTTGGTGCTATAACAAAACGCCTTGAGCGTGTTGCCCACAGTCCCGCTGTGAAAATGCAAGTAGAGGTGGTGGGTGGACTAACTATCGCTCAGCAACGAACTATAACGACGGTGTCGAGTTTTTATTATTTTCGGCTTCGTATTTCGCAGTTTGCACACCTCATGCTGCGTGGTCTCTAAAAACAGATCATAATTTGTGTGGCGGCATCGCATTTCTGTGTGTTTCTACGTCTCTCTGCCCTCCTCCTCCTCCTCCTCACGTTCCCCCACCCCGCTCTTTTTGTACCGTTTCACGCGGAATAACCATGGTGCATGCTCCATGTGTGCAGCCGGAGGTTGATGAGCCTAGCCGCGCCAGCGGAAGACACAGCCGCAGACTAGAAGGGGCCAAGACACGCGGCATGTTGGTAGAAGGTGATGCGTACGAGACTCCTCCGCCGAAGCCGTTCGTGTCGCGGCAACAGCGGGGTTTCCTTGAGTACGACAGGCGGCAGGTGAGGAGAGGGGGGGGGGGATCCAAAGGATCGAAATCACTGCTTAAAGGCGTGGTAGAGTTGGGTAACGCAGGTGCTACTTTGACCGGGTGTCTGCCTGCAAACGAAAGGTGAACACGTGCAGTACAATGGAGAGGGGAGGTGAGATAAAGAAGAGGGCGAAAGAGGGAAATGAACAGTAGCCGTGATGAGATAGGTGCAACCTACTCGCGCGAAGGTGTGAGCACACCACAAGAAACGCATAATTTTTGTCACCAGGCCTTGGACGGAACCTCTTCCACACCTGGTGCCCGACACCGACACGCCATTGCGTGCCGTTGGCGCTGCCGCTTGCTCGCTGCACCTAGCTGCCACTGCGGGTTCTTCTGCTGCTAACGCTGCTTATTGGTACAGCTCCTGCTCCTCCGCCCCTCTTTCTCATCTGTCTCGCATGCCCTGCTTCCACCCACACCGCCGCCACCCCTGCCCCCCGCAGCCAATGAGCCGAGACAGACGCCTCGAGCTCCGGGAGGAAATCCGGGAGATGTTCATCCACTCGTACGACGGATACATGAGACACGCCTTTCCCGGGGGGGAACTCCTGCCGCTTTCTTGCGGATCGGGCGAGCTCCACCTCGTTAAGGTGTCTCACGCATTTGGCGAATATGTCGCGTTTGTACCTGCTTGATAACTGCTGTCGTAGTGTTGGTATTCGCATACAGCCGGGGTGAGGAGAGAGTTTGGTGCCGCTTTGTCTTCTAAATAGAGTCGTAGCGAAGGTGGCTCGTTTGGGGGGCGGGGGGGGGGCATGCGTTTCGCTGTGAGCATGACCTCCTTGAGGTCTGGCCGGTGTGCTGTTGTTATTGTTTTGTGTTAAGTCGGTTCTCTCGTCACCCTTGTCGTCGTTGGTGTTGTTGTCCCTGCTGCCGTGGGTATTTTTGTAGGCAAAAACCAAACATACTGTACATCCCGAACGCCGGTCGAAAAAGCCGCTCCTGGTCGTTTCCCCCTGATATTGCGAGTGTCGGTGCTGTTTATCCTTGTCGCTGGCGTTGTTCCTGCCGCCGTGAGAACGTTGTTTGCGCGTATCGCTTTATGGCCACTGCCGCTGCATACTGCAGCCCACACAGAGGTCCTTACCTGCGTACCATATTTCAACATAAACGGCGGCAGGAGTGTCTGCTGCGAAGCTCTTCCCCGGTGTAGGTGCAAAAAGCTGAGAGCAAAGCAAGCTTCTGAGCCTCGCCTTATCGACCAACCCCCAATCCTAAGGTGCCCCTGGTTACCTTGGTGGACAGCCTGGACGCTCTGGCCATCATGGGCAACGCCACCGAGTTTCGGAGGGCCGTACGGTGCGTCGTCGAGCGCTGTTGCACCGATCGATCTCGCCTCTCCACCTCATCCTCGCAGATCTTCTTTGCAGTAGGCCCCCCCCCTCCCTCTTTCCTCCCCTCCTCACCGCCCTCCTCGCCCCCTCCTGTCTGCTGTGCCCCCAGGCTTGTCTCCGACGGCCTCGACGTGGAGGCAGATGTAGACGTGTCCGTGTTCGAGAGCAACATTCGGATTCTGGGTGGCTTGCTTTCAGCTCACCTTCTCGCGACAGACCCGGACCTCGGCCTCTACCGCAGCCGTGAGTGACGTCGAAACACGACCTGCTTTTGTTCTGCTGCTCCTTTTATTTATTTTTTTGGAAGGTGGGGGTGGGGGGGGAGGCGAACCCGCCGGCCATCACAAGGGGAGGGGGGGGACGAAGCAGCCGGCCGTTAAGTAAGACCTTGCTTCACGCGAACCATCGTGTTAAGTACCTCCTCTTGCGCCCCCCCACCCACCACCCGCTGTCCATTTCGTGCAGGCAAGGGCATCGCCGGTCGCGAGTGGCATGTGACGATTTCGCGTTCACGACCCTGTTTTCCTTTCACTTTGAACGTGTTCACATTTCACTATGAACGTGTTCACATTTCACTATGAACGTGTTTACATTTCATACATGCAAACCCTCCACCCTCCGACCCCCGCAGATTTTCTGCCGTAACCCTGCCGGGATTGTCCCTATGCCAACCCTTTCCCCCTCTCCCATCCTGACGAATCCCCCCCACCCCCCACCCCCTTAGATAGTGTTCTCGCGATCGTTTTTGACGGTGTTGTTTTGGTTGATGTACTGGTGTGCTTGAGGTGCGCGCCTTCCACGAGATGCAACCCTTGCGCTCTCCTTGTGTTTTTTTTGTCCGGCGGCGTTCGGTCGATCGTTCCGTCGGCTCCGTACATACCTCATGAGTCCTGCACGACGTTGTGGCGTCTGGCCTGGGCAACGGTACGTGTCGAGGCCGCCCGGGGCAACGTGTTTCGGCTGACCTCTCGGTCACTCGCCGATGAGGACCGGCCACTCTTTTTGTTGCTGACCTTCTTCTTGTTCTTCTTTGTTCTTCTTTGTTCTTATTCTTGTTCTTATTCTTTTGCCCGAAGGCGACGCGGCTACGACGCGCGATGTCTACCACTACCGGGTATCGTTGCTGTTTTGGGTGCTGTTGCTGCTGCTACTGACGCCAACGCTGCTGCTGCTGCCGCTGCCGCTGCTCTAGCTGTGTGAAGATATGCTTACCCTCGGCACTCTTTTCTCACGATGTCGTTGTACGCGCTGCGGCCGTACGAACTCGGGCTCTCTTGGTCTCCCATCCAACTCCCCTCCCCTCCCCTCCTCGCCTTGTGCCGGCCCCGCAGCAGAGGCTGACCCTGCTGACGATAGCGAGAAAGACGACTACTCTGCTACTGCTGCTGCTGCTATTGCGGCAACAGGAAGAAGAGGGAGGGGCGCAGACGGCGGTGGTGGCCGGTGCGTTGGAGACACCGGCAACGGTGTTCGCGTCTCCGATAGAGGGGGGGACGCGGCTGGGGAAAGGAGTGTCGGTGGATGCGGCCGAGGCCGGGAGTCGGACGAGAAGGGGGGGTTCCGTGGACTGGACGGTGGCTGGTCCGAAGAAATCGGACACAGGGCGGAGGAGGGGGAGGGAGAGAGCGGCGAACAGCAGTACGATGGAGAGCTGCTGGTGCTGGCGGAGAGGCTCGGGCGACGCCTGCTGCCGGCCTTCAAAACCCCAACAGGTGCAGACGTCGTGTTGTGTTGGTTGCGCGTGAAGAAAGGGAAAGCAGGGACCTGGGGGTTGTACGACTGCTTTCATCAACGGTTTTTGTAGGTGGGTGCTGTGACGTTCTGAAAATTTTGCGGCAAGTACAGGTAGTTACGGGGGCTGCGACATCACACTCAGCTGTCAGATATGTTCAAGCGACAAGCGTTTTCGGAGAGGGGAGCGGACCATTTAGTCCCCTCCCCCTAAACCCGTGTGATTTTCGACCTTAACCCCCAAGGAATCCCCCTACAGCACGATTAAAGTACAAAGAGGCGCTCCAA